ATGCTACATGTTTCATATAGGTAATTATGGCTAATTTATTTTTACAGGTATAATTTTCATTTTAATGGCAGCCTTGCAGAATTATGTTTTCATAAATGTTCTCCATCAGTAAGTATCTATCTATCTATCTATCTATCTTTTATGTCTTCTATTCTACTCACTATTTCACCCATTCCATTTTTGTAATAAACTTCTATTTATTTGTTAATTTTGTTTTCACACAGTATATAAAATAACCATTAATAATAGTCATATATTTGAATGATTACGTCAAGCACGATGAATACTTCAATGATTTGAAGTAGTTATGGTGCTTGGAGTCTATATGTGCAATGTATTTGTAAAAAACACTGGACACAGGGGCGTTTTAGCCGCGAGGCAAACAAGGCATTTGCCTTGGGCGGCATTTTTCAGGGGGCGGCAAAAAAAGCCGCCCCCCAAATGCCCAGGGCAAATGTCACGTTAGCCTCGCGGCTAACAGACATGCTGGGCGCCGGGCGGCATTGGCGGGCGGCTGACGAGGGAGCTTTTCCTGTGAGCTGACTGCTCAGCTCCCTCGCGCGCCACAGAGTGAGGCTGGGAGCCGGAAGATGACGTCATCTTCCGGCTCCCAGCCTCACTCTGCGGCGCGCGAGGGAGCTGAGCAGTCAGCTCACAGGAAAAGCTCCCTCGTCAGCCGCCTGCCCGCCCGCCCGCCAATGCCGCCCGGCGCCCAGCAGCCACTGGACCACCAGGGAGATCGAGAACCCCTTCCCTCCCCAGCACTCCCAAAGGTAAGGAGGCTGGAGGGGGGAAGGTTTAAAAAGTACATGTGTTAATGTGAGTGAGTGTGTGTGTCTGTTAGTGAGTGTGTGTTATTGTGTGTGTCTGTTAGTGAGTGTGTTATTGTGTGTGTTAGTGAGTGTGTGTGTGTCTGTTAGTGAGTGTGTTATTGTGTGTGTCTGTTAGTGAGTGTGTGTCTGTTAGTGAGTGTGTGTTAGTGAGTGTGTGTGTGTCTGTTAGTGAGTGTGTTATTGTGTGTGTCTGTTAGTGAGTGTGTGTGTTAGTGAGTGTGTGTCAGTGTGTGTGTCTGTTAGTGAGTGTGTCTGTTAGTGAGTGTGAGTGTGTCTCTGCTAGTGAGTGTGTCTCTGCTAGTGAGTCTCTGCTAGTG